CCCCCCTACTCTTCATCCTCTCTTGTTAGTGCTGAGTCCTTGACTTATGGTATAATGCAATCCACTCATGTCCTCAGGAACCTTGTGTGCTGATGACGTTTGTTTCGACTTTAAGACCCTCGGCTAAGAGGTCCAAGACTCTGCAGGACCTCAAGATCCTCGTCTAAAGACGTGATTGTTTGTTGATCTATTTTCATCTTTCAGGTGTTCAAACAACCATTACCGTGAACGTTCTGACACCTAGGAACTTTCCAGTTGATTTATATTACCTGACTGATGTGTCAAGATCCATCAAAAAGGAATCCATCAAATCGCTAGGACAGTTGTTAGGTATGTAATTCGTGCATTGTGTTTGAGCTCAAAACGAAGGATTGTGCATGGTCTTGGAACTCACAACAAATTTTTGATTTTAATTTATGTGGAATACCTGCAAATTAGCTGGTGAGTCATTTTATCTTTCATGTGATGTCACACGTCACGTATAGCTAAGTGTATTACACTATAAACTTCTATGGTTCTGTGTTGTATCTGAGCATCTTTGCTTGCATCTCAGACTTGATAACCATTCCCCTCGATTAACTATGATTATGCTAAAGTGAAGCCTTGGAGCCGACTGGCTCATAGCTGTCGGAGCTTATCCTGGTTTCTGTAGCATGAAGCGGCTAGGAGTATTTCTACTCCCCCTGGACGGGATGCTGGTCCATCGCAGGTCACTCCTCCGCAATTTGTTAGGTTTCTCCAACAATTCGCCGGTACCCATTTATACTCCTGGGTGGAGAGAGGCACTGTGAGAGTTAAGTGTCTTGCCCAAGAACACAACACAGTTATGAACTGTGCTGCCCTTCTATTTTTGCGTAAAACGAAGTTTGATTCTGTAACTCCGTTGTTGATCAAGCTTCACTGGCTCCCTGTTACTCAGTGCATTGTTTTGAAGATTATTGTATTACTGACGTATAAGACGCTTTTAAGCATCAATTAAAATGGGCGAAATCTTTATTTTATTTTAATTTATATTACTTTTTTATTTACCTTTATCCTTGTTTGATATCCTCCTTGCCATAAGCCGGGCACGTTATATTTGTATCTATCGCCCGACACGGAGTCGCTAGAACGACTTAGGAACATTGCTTGTTTTGTGGATAAGTGATGGAGGTCAAAAAATAACTTATATTTTGCCAAGTTTCTCTTTGAAACTGTTGATGACTGATTATATTTTCCCCAATTTTGTATCACATCGTACTCGTGTGGAATGATAATTTCTGGATGTGCATCCAACATGGCGCCCACCAAGCTATGACTACTACGAGGATATCCAATGAACATTACAAATGTCTCCACTCCATCGTACAATTTGAAACGTTTCTCTGCGTAAGAGATGGAAATAGTTTCCCCTGAAAGTGCAAAAGACAATTTTAGTTTGTCTCAGCTGAGTCAGTATTTTTTAAATTTGGAATTAGCTCATGATGACTTCATAAATTCAAATGTGCCATTATACTATATGTTTGACCCAAAGTACTAGTAGGTGAAAACAACCTGTTAGCAAAAATAAGCGAGCACTGACATCGCGAAAAAAAAAATGAAAATATAAGAACAAGTATCTTTAAGTAATTTGTACATTTATTTTATTCGCAATTTAAAGACGAGTTGGCGCATTCGAGACCACCTTGAAGGTGCAGATGAGGCTCATAGCTGAGAATAGGTCAAAATTGGACGTTGTACTGTCTACTAAGCAATGCATGACAATTTGTTTTGATAGCTTAGATCTGTGCAAGTTTCTGATTACTGAAGTAGACTGAAATTTTAAAGGAGCTTTACTCAAAATTACTTAAAAAGTTTATGAATGAACCTCAGAACCTCGTGAAAATGAACACAAACATTTAGAAAGTAAAACTTCAGAAATAAAGTAAGCTTGAGTAAAATTAAGACGAGTTGCAAACGGCAAACTTGAATATATTGCCAATTGTTTCAAGATGCTGCAGCTCCTTTAACTGATAGCTGATAGCTGAGTAATCGACAGAAATTTAAATGATAACAGACTCCCTTATCGTTAAAGGAGCTCAACCACGATAATTTGGCCATGCTCAAAACTACCTTTAAATTGAATGAAACCTGAAAGTAGTAGTTTACTAAGATTGAAAAACACCAGAGATGTACTAATAAACCATAAAGGAGCAAGGATGGTTAAGGAAGGAGAAGGTTAACGCGGTTTACAAACAACGAAACTGAAAAATGTAGGCTAAACATTTTAAGATGCGCAAACCAATACATAGCTACTTTGAGTTGCGCATGTATTGGCGCGCGAACTACCATGACTCCCGACTATATTTGATCCGTTCCCCTCACTGTATAACTTACTGTTTGTAAGACTCAGCCATGTATTAGGAATGAATTCCATGCTGTGGAGACTAACATCTTCTCTCCTTGGGAATGTTTCTGAGATGTTTGATGCTTCAGGCTCTGTTTTAAAGCTGCTAATAACGTAAAGAACTAAAACAGCGTTTAAGGCCAAAAGTGGCTTAAGCCAGCGCCGAGGAAATCTCGTCCAAGCCATCGGTTAGTTTCTGAAAAAGAAAATTAAATCGAAAGCAGGCGCTGATTTGTTCAGTGTAAAATTGTCTTCGAGGCATCTTATCCGAAACTTATTTTAGATGTTGACAAACCCTTGTGTTAACGTTAAAAAAATTCTATTTTCGGGAATCGGTGACGGCGACTGACCATGACATAGTTGACGTAGTGTAACTTTTGTTTCCTATTTAACATATCAGCGCGCACGCGATTGGTCTAAATTTAAAAACGCGTCACATGACTGAACTCACCCCAGCTAAAACTAGGGATTGTCCGAGTGATATATTTGAGGGAAAATAAACACAATAGCCTCCATTTGGTACGAAAATATGCTCGGGTATTTTTCCTTGGACATTATCTGTTCCTCGAAGCTCACAGTTCTCCTCGAGTTTCGTTCTCCGGAAACTGTTCGCTTTTCTGAACAGATGATGTCTGCAGACAAATATCTGAGCTTATTATATGGCTAGCTCCGTGAGCGGGCAAGATGAATCAAATCCTGCGCTGTGATTGGCTACCCTAGCGGGCAACATGGAGCTATCTTGCCCGCTCGGGACTACCCGCCGTGTCCCGCAAGAAAAATTTCCGCGAAAGCCATAATAAATCCTTTATTGATTAAACTTGTTCAGTCAAGATGGTTTTCAGTCAAGTTTATGGACCCCGACTCCGTCTCGGTCCATAAACACGCAAGAAAAGAACGAGGCCAATATCCAGCCATCTTGACCTCACACTTGGTCAATAACCCATACATATTTTCGCTCCAAATGGAGGCTATGTTGACAAGTGTATGTGAAACTTTGTGACGAATAAGTGAAGTACAGAATGTCTCATATACCCGAGACTCAGGGGAATTGATTATTTATTAATGTTCTATAACTTTTACGTTTAAAAGATCTCTCGTATTCAATTTTTTGATATGTGCCTGAATAAAGTTACCTAGGCGTATTCCAAACGTCGTGCTACTTCCGTGCCGAACTAAATTTAAGAATAGGCGATTTGCATGACGGCGTCATTTGACTGCAACTACCAGAATCCTTCACTTTCTTTGTTTCTTATGCTAATTAGGGCAATTGTTATTTAAACCCTACTGGGACTTCAAAATTTAAATAATGAAGAAAAAACGAAAGGAATTCTGGTAGTTGTAGTCAAATGACGACAACGTTCAAATCTGCTGTTAAATTCGACTTAAGTACGGCAGTAGCACGACGTTGGAAACCATTTAGTTCGGCAGGCTAAATTGAGTTCGGCACGACTAGCTAAGGCCTTGTCGTTCCGCACGACAGTAGCGCGACTTGTATTCTTGCCGTACCAAACTGAATTCATTGTCTGCTGCATCAGCTGCTGTTGATTTCTAGCGTTTAAAATGGTATTCAGCAAAGCAAACTTCTTCCGATATTCGGCGCGGCTGAATTAAATTCGACGTTTTGTCATGCCACTGCTGGGCCAAGTTCATTTGAGTTCGGCACGGCGGTAGCGCGACGACGTTTGGAATTGAAAAATTCAAAAATTGTCTCAAGGTCACACAAAAGGTTCCGAACATTTCCGAAGATAACCGAAGATTAGCGAAGACTTTCGAGGAAGACTCGAAGTTGCTTTTTATCACACACCGACAAATTTAAGTACAGCTTAAGGGTCAAAAAAGATATCAGTGAAGTCATCAATATAATTACTAGTAAACGTATGGAAAATACACCACCCGAGTCCCGGATGTGATTTCGTACGAATTTTACGAGTTGCGTATTTTCCAGTAAAACACTCGTGTCTATATAATATCCCCGAAGGAGTCCTCGAAACCGATCGTATAGGAAGGAAAAAGAACTGCTGGCAAATCGGTGATTGGACTTTCGTATCCTTGGAGACGATAACAACTTGGCAAGCATGCGTGAAGCGGCGAGTGATTCTGAAATAAATATGCCATTTATGAATATCTTTTCTNTTTGCAGTCTTTCAATGCGCGGCGGTACTAACAGAAAACAGCATGGGGTCCGGCAATAGAATAAGTCCGATTAGGCGTTCGCGGCGTTTTAATTCATTACTTATTCTAAAATTTCTCGGGTTAGCCTTCAATTCTTACAGTGTATAGTTTTGTCAAAACAAGCGTTTAGAAAAAAAAAACCCTTATTATAATTAAACGCGTACTATAGCTGGTTGATATGCGTTGTTTAAATGAACGTGGATTTGCATGGACCACGTAACAAAATAGAAGTACCTTACCTATTATTTTAGATGATCCAATTAGCTATAGCTGATATTAGCTTAACCGAGAAAAGACCTAAGTCTGATAACACGGTATGGAAACTAAATTTTCTGGAATAACGATTAGCAAATATTAATATTATTACAGTGGAATCCCGGTTTTTCGAACCTCCAAGGGAAACGAAAATTGGTTCGAAAACTCGGATAGTTGGAGAAATCGGGTGTAAAATTACAGTGTTCGACTGACAGAGGGAAACGAGTTGATAAATCGGAATTTCACTGTAGATTTGAATTTTCTCCCAGACCCTCAAGAAGAAAGGTCGTACCTTATTGAAACTTTAACACTACATTTAGTTTCCCGTTTGAAATCAGAAATTAAAGACCTGAGATTTTCTTGGTTCATTCTTTATTTAGCGGACAGTAGCCAAGGTTTCATATTTATTCTCATCGCTTACTGAATCATGCAGGATAACATGTCGATAGCTCTCTTGTGAAAGTGAAGCTCTAGCAACATGCAATTAAGAAATAGAAAACATGTACCGTGTTTCTATCGAGTTTTAGTACAAATCTATTAGTGTCCTATCACGACTGGCGTTCTCTGATTGGCTACACTACTCACTATCTATCCTGTGATAGATAGTGAGTAGCGTAGCAGTATGCGCTTGTTAGCGAACTGGCGGCCGCTTCTTTGCGTTCTCGAAGTGTCTGTTAAGAGGATTTAGATAAAGTTTTGAACGACTAGTAGATATATACTAAAACAATTAGATTATTCGCTCTCGATTTCTATGCGTGATAGTTGACACGGGCTGCGCCCCGTCAACTATCACGCGATAGAAATCTCGAGCTCATAATCTAATTGCTTAATAGAAACAGGATTTTTAACCAATCAGCGCGCGCATTTGCCTAGGACTGTATTCTAATTAACAATTAGATTATGAGCTCGAGATTTCTATTTAAACAATAGAGTGTTTCTGTCGAGGAACTAT